AAAAAAAAAAAAAAAAAAAAGAGGAAGATTGCCAACGGATGTTAGCTTAGAGCAAATCTTCCTTACCAAAAAAAAACATAGAATTTCTATTTTCCAGGCAGCCCGCTCAAAAAAAAAACAAAAAACACTTTTACAGTCTCTTATCAAGAGGAGACCAACAGTCAAAGAAAACTGTCCTTTTAAGAAAGAGAAAACCAAATTCTAATTTTGCACCAGCTTACTTTGGATATTAAGACTCCTTTACTTAATTAAATTTATTCCAATCTTAGCCAGTTGACCATGCACAAAATTTTTTTCTCAGGGTTCCTCTTCCACAAACCTGCTATTTTTACATTTAGAATTTGTCCTTTCTTTTTTCCCATAACCAGTTTTGCTTTAGGACAAATTTACTTTCTTAACAAAAATATCTCCATTTCTTATACTTTCTTTTACTGAAAACATACATTTTCTCACAGCATAAAATTTTTTTTTATTGATGTTTTAATAGTTTATAACATTGTGAAATTTTGGGTTGTACATTTTTGTTTGTCCATCACCATATATATGTCTCCCTTCACCCCTTGTGCCTACTCCCCACCCCCATTGCCCCTGGTAACCACAATACAGTTTTCTCTGTCCATGTGTTGGTTTATATTCCACATATGAGTGAGATCATACAGTGTTTGTCTTTCTCTTTCTGGCTTATTTCACTTAACATAATACCCTCCAGGCCCATCCATGTTGTTGTAATATTTTTTTTTTACAATTTTATTTATTTATTTTTCCCCCAAAGCCCCAGTAGATAGTTGTACGTCATAGTTGCACATCCCATGTTGTTGTAAATGGGACGATTTTATCCTTTTTGTGGCTGAGTAGTATTCCATTGTATATATATACCACATCTTCTTGATCCAGTCATCAGTCGAGGGACACTTAGGTTGCTTCCACTTCTTGGCTATAGTGAATAATGCTGCAATGAACAATGTGGCACAAGATATGTTTACTAATAGACCCAAACATATCTTTTAGCTTTTCTATAATAAGAAGCCAAAAGTAGATAAACTTATGTTTAGTAATTAATATTTAATATTTTATCTTATTTGGAAATACTCAATAAATTTTTATCATTTTACTTAATTTAGCTGAACTCTAAGGTTTCTAAAAGATTTTACCAAAAGATTTTAAAATTAGTACATATACCATAACACATAATTATTGTTAAAAAGTTCATGCAAAACCTTTTTATCTTACTTACATCTATTTAATTTACCTGTTCTCAATAATTCTGTTTAGATTACCTACAAAAACATCGTAAGACATTAGACAAAGTCAGCCATCAATTTTTTTCTGACAAATTTTATAAGAGAGAGAAGATGAATTTGTTTGGCTTTTTCGTAAACCTAGGTAGAATAAAAATTTTATTTTTAATGCTGATAACGCTAAAGATGTGCCCATATTAATTAACCCAACAAACTTAAATTAGCTCTAATACTGAATAGTTTCTTTAGAATATGTGATCCTGAAATTCATTTGGGTTAGTTTCTGTTATTTTTTTTAAGAGTATACTCAATTTATATAGCAGTTGTTTGTTTTTAAGCCAATTAAATAGAGCTCTTATAAACTAGTCTTGATAATACCATCCAGAGATAGGAAAATATCACATGTTTATAACATATACATAGACACACACATGAACACAGAGACAGATGCAAACAGATTTTATCCTCCATTTAATTTTATTTTCCTTTTATTTTGTTTTTTTGATGAAGAAGATTGGCCCTGAACTAATGTCTGTTGCCAATCTTACTCTTTTTGCTGAGGAAGATTGGCCCTGAACTAACATCTGTGCCCATCTTCCTCTATTTTATATGTGGGACACCTGCCACAGCATGGCTTGATAAGTGGTGTGTAGGTCCACGCCTGGGATCTGAACCTGCGAACCCTGGATCGCCAAGGCAGAGCACGTGAACTTAAGCACTATGCCATCCGGCTAGACCATCCTCTCTTTTAAAATTTTCTTTAGAAATGTAAATCAAAACTACAATGAGATATCACCTCACACCCATCAGAATGGCTATAATTAACAAGACGAGAAATAATAAGTGTTGGGGAGGATGTGGAGAAAAGGGAACCCTCATACACTGCTGGTGGGAATGCAAACTGGTGCAGCCACTATAGAAAACAGTATGGAGATTTCTCAAAAACTTAAAAATAGAAATACCATACAATCTAGCTAGCCCACTACTGGATATTTATCCAAAGAACATGAAATCAACAATACAAAGAGATCTGTGCACCCCTATGTTCATTGCAGCATTATTTACAATAAGCAAGGTGTGGAAGCAACCCAAGTGCCCATCAACTGATGAATGGATAAAGATGTGGCATATATACACAATGGAATACTACTCACCCTAAAAAAAAGACAAAATTGTCCCATTTGCAACAACATGGATGGACCTTGAGAGTATTATGTTAAGTGAAATAAGCCAGACAGAGAAAGACAAACACTGTATCATTTCACTCACATGTCAAGATAAACACATGGACAAAGAGAACAGATTAGTGGTTACCAGAGGGGAAGGGGGTGGGGGGTGGGTGAAAGGGGTAAAGGGGCACGTATATATGGTGACGGATTAAAACTAGACTATTAAAAGTAAATTAATTAGGGGCCGGCCTGGTGGCATAGTGGTTAAGTTCGCCTGCTCTGCTTCGGTGGCCCGGGGTTTGCAGGTTCGGATCCCAGGCTGGGACCTATGCACCACTTAGCAAGCCATGCTGTAGCAGGCGTCCCACATATAAAATAGAGGAAGATAAGCACAGATGTTAGCTCAGGGCCGGTCTTCTTCAGCAAAAAGAGGAGGATTGGCAATGGATGTTAGCTCAAGGCTAATCTTCCTCACTGAAAAAAAATAAAATAATTAATTAATTTAAAAAAATTCTTTTCTGGGGCCAGCCCTGTGGCTTAGTGGTTGAGTGCATGTGCTCCGCTACTGGCGGCCCCGGTTCGGATCCCGGGCGCGCACTGACACACCGCTTGTCTGGCCGTGCTGAGATGGTGTCCCACATACAGCAACCAGAAAGATGTGCAACTACAACTATGTACTGGGGCTTTGGGGAGAAAAAGGGAAAAAAAAAGGAAGAGGATTGGCATGGATGTTAGCTCAGGGCTGATCTTCCTCACACACACACACAAAAAATTAATATAAAAATGTTAAACTAAATATAGTAGTCCCCCCCTTATCTGTGGTTTTGCTTTCTGGTGTTTCAGTTACCTGTGGTCAACCACAGTCCAAAAATATTAAATGGAAAATTCTAGAAATAATTTATAAATTAAAAAGAAAAAGCTAGGAGTATTTACTTTATGTAACAAACACTTGTAGAGCACTTACTATGTGCCAGATATTCTAAACACTTTACAACTATGAACTAATTTAATTCTCATTAAAATCCTGAGAGGTATGAACACTGATGATCCTCATTTTACAGATGAGTAAATTGCTCAGAGAGGTTAAGTGACTTTCCTAAGGGCACACAGCTGGTGAGTGGCAGAGCTGGGATTTGAATGCAGGGAATCTGGCAATGTTGCTTCTGTTCTGTGCTGTTGACAGAGAGGAGCTCCACCTGCACTGGGGGCATCAGGATGACAGCATCTGGTGTTCTCTCTCTATCCCCTTAGTAGGCCTCTCAGTCAGTAGCTACCAAGCAGAAAAGGAATGGAGAATGAATAGCAGAGGTGCCTGTCCAGCTATTGTGATGGTGACCGGGCCTATGGGGCTCACTTGGGCTTACTCTGTCCCTTGTGCCCGCTGCAGGGGACCCGAAGGTGCCAGTGCTGTACCAGGTGGAGCGGACGCGAACAGGGGCAAGCTTCTCTGTGCGCTCTGTGAAGGCCGTGCAACATGGCAAGCCCATCTTCATCTGCCAGGCCTCCTTCCAGCAGACGCAGCCCAGCCCCGTGCAGCACCAGTTCTCCATGCCCACTGTGCCTCCACCGGAAGAGCTGCTTGACTATGAGGCCCTCGTTGACCAGTATCTAAGGTGAGAGGCCTGGAGGCTCCAGGACAGCATTCAGACTGCACTTGCCACCTGTTAGTGGGTCATGGGATCCTTCAGTGGGTCTTCACCAGCATTTGAAAAATATAGACTACAAAAGAAGATATTGAAGTGTATTGATGTAGCAAGAGTAAGAATCCTTTTGTGAAACTTTAGTTGCAGTTGTGTGCGTGGGCATGTGTGCATGTGCAAGTGTATTGTGTTGGGCTGTGAGGTGCAGGGCTTATGATTCAGCCAGTTCAGGTACTATTATAGCTTTACTGGTTGTTAAAATATTAAAATACTTTTATAACCCCTTGGTAAATACCTCCCCAGTCCCTGAGTGGTCCCCTTCCTCCTTTGGGGTCACCCGTGATCCAGCAGCCTAGGAATTAATGCCTGGCAGGGGGCAGGGTCCCTGCTGCAGAGCTATGGCCTCGCTGCCCTTGCCTTGCGTGTGTTGGATGTTTTTTGTTTGTTTGTTGTGAGGAAGATCAGCCCTGAGCTAACATCCGTGCTAATCCTCCTTTTTTTTTTTTGCTGAGGAAGACCGGCTCTGAGCTAACATCTATTGCCAATCCTCCTCCTTTTTTTTCCCCAAAGCCCCAGTAGATAGTTGTATGTCATAGTTGCACATCCTTCTAGTGGCTGTATGTGGGACGCAGCCTCAGCATGGCTGGAGAAGCGGTGCGTCGGTGTGCGCCCGGGATCCGAACCCGGGCCGTCAGTAGCGGAGCGCGCACACTCAACCGCTAAGCCATGGGGCCGGCCCGTGTTAGATGTTTTGAATGTCACCTGGTAAAATATATTTACTTGGATCCCAGCTAATAAAGTTGGGAAAATGCTGGGGCAGGGAAAAGAGCTCTGAGTCCCGACATAGGACAGACACATGGATTCTGGCCGGGGCTGTACCTCCATTAGTGCCCACCTGCTGTGACTTTGCCCAACTCCCCAGCCTCTCGGAGCCCTGCTTTATCACCTGAAAAATGGGAATGGTTGTTTCTTCCCTGCCTGATCTCAGCTCCTGTCCTCATAAGGACAGCTCCTGTCTTGTGCTGCATGCAGGGGAGGCGGCAGGGTGGCATGGGACAGATGTGGGTTAGAACCTGGAAAAGGCCTGGGTTCAAATCTAGACTCCATCTCTGCTAGCTCTGTGAGTTTGGGCAAGTTGCTTTCGCACTCTGAGCCATGCCCTCGGTTATAAAATGGTGCTGATCATAATTCCTACCTCATAACGCTGCTAAGGATTAAATGAGCTAAGAGAGAATAAGGCACTCAGCGGGTATTGTAGTTATACCGCTATTGAATAAGCATGGAGCTTATGCAGTTGGAGCCCAGAAGTTTGCTGAAATGAAAGGAAGACATTGTTCTTAAAGCTCCCTAAATCTAGAGCTGTGCTGTCCAATAAGGAGGGCACTAGCCATGTGTGGCTATATTAAATTAATTAACATTAAACAGAATCAACAGTTCTGTTCCTCAGTCACACTAGCCACATTTCAAGCACTCAGTAGCCACGTGTGGCTAGTGGCTACCATGGTGGACAGATACAGAACATTCCATCATCACAGTTTTATTGGACAGTGCTTGAGAGGATAGGGATGAAAATGGAAATACCAGTGAAGAGCACTAGGGGTAGTTGTTGCCATGGTGAAGGGGCTTCTCTGGAAATGGACTCCTCCCCCTGGGGACACAGTGTTCCCAATTGCTTAGGGTTAGGGAACTCAGTCCAAGTTGGGCAGCCTATTTCCTGAATGTGTAGAAGAGTGAAGTTAAAAGTAGGAACCGTGGAGCCAGGCTGCCTGGGTCCGAATCCTGCCTTCTCCACCTCCTGAGCAAGCTACTTGGACTCTGCTGATTTCATTCATCAGCTCAGGGTGATAATAGCACCTATCCCAGGGGTTGTTGTGAGGAGTGAGTTAATGTGTGTGAAATGCTTAGAACAGTGCATATTATAGGGTATGCCTATGACTATGATGTGTTGGCTTTAATATGCCTTATCTTGTCTTCTCCACAATGTTTATTATGAGGTAGGTTACTACAAGGCCACATGGCTCATAAGTGGCAAAGAAAGGATTCAAATACTCTACACTCCTGCCTGCCAGAGGGGAGGGGAGCTTTGGGGGATAAGTCAGGAGTCCTTGTGGAGGAATGAGGGGAGTCAGGAGAGGCAGCTCAGAGGAGAGGCTCCACCTCTCCCTGTATCCCTCAGTCCCTCTCCGCTTTACTTTCAGGGACCCTAACCTCCAAGAGAAGTACCGAGTGGGGCTGAACCGAATTGCTGCCCGGGAGGTGCCCGTTGAGATCAAGCTGGTAAAACCACCCACCCTGAGCCAGCTGGAGAGCATGGAGCCCAAACAGATGTTCTGGGTGCGAGCCCGGGGCTATATTGGTAAGAGGACCCCATGGACTGGAAGAAAACACTCTCCAGGGGTCTAGGCCTGTGCCTCATTTGCCCTGTGTGGCCTTGGGCATGTTACTTCCCCTCTCTGGGCCTGCATGATGGGGAAGGTGGCTCAGCTTCTCAGCAGGGCCCTCTCAGCTCTTTGCATGGAGAGAATGGGGAGGTGACTATAATCCTAACATAGGCCCTTTCTGGGGAAGGCAAGGCACCTTGCTGAGATTCTTCTCCAGGTCCAGTGCTAACCATTACGTGCCTTTGTGCAAACTGGAAGAAGACACTTCCAGGGTCCAGGGTGGGAAACTTGGGGAGTGAAGACTGGATTTCAGTCCTCACTCCCTCCTGCCCCACCTCCCTTACCCCCCTCACGTACGTTGGGCCAGGTGCTCTCGTGCAGTGAACAGTCTGCACCTCTGTGCACGGCAGCCCCTTTCTCTCCCGCCTCCCTGCAGGTCCTGAGCTGTAAAGCCCAGGAGCCCAGGGCTGACGGGGCCGGAACCTGTTGCAGGGGAGGGCGACATCAAGATGCACTGCTGCGTGGCTGCCTACATCTCGGACTATGCCTTCCTGGGCACAGCGATGCTGCCCCACCGGTGGCAGCATAAGGTGCACTTCATGGTCTCCTTGGACCACTCCATGTGGTTCCACGCCCCTTTCCGAGCTGACCACTGGATGCTCTATGAGTGCGAGAGCCCCTGGGCTGGTGAGTGTGGGGCCACGTGGGACAAGGGCACTGACCTTGGGGTGGCAGGCAGCCTCCACTTCCTGTGGGGCACTTCACAGGTCATTTCCTCTCCTGCCCTCCTAGGCTTTGGCATCCTTGTCTTCAAAATGAGAGTGAGAGGCAGGACAGGACACCTGCTCAGCTCTTAATTTCTGTTACATGCTGGGAAGAAGATTTACTTGATCTCAGAGACCCAGTTCAGATTCTCCATATGATCTCCGACAAGTCCCATCTCCTCTCTAAGCCTGTTTCCCTATCTAAGCAAATAAGGTCACGTTAGAACAGTGGTATCCAAACCTGGTGGCCCATCAGACTGCCACTTGGGGGAGCTTTTTCAAAATAGATTCTCAGATTCCACCCCCAAGATTCTGACTCAGCAGGTCTTGGATGAGGTCCAGGAAACTATTTTTAAGAAGCTCCCTAAGTGACTCTGACGATTAAGCTGGTTGGGGCTCAGGGCACTCAACAGCCTCTAAGGCACCCACTCCTTGGACACTCCTGGTGGTGGACAGAGAGAAACCCAGACTCCTCCAGCAACGTCTAGTCCCCGAGTCCTGGGTTCCTTTCCAAGGAGTACATTTCAAATGAAGAAAAGCCTTGCTCTGTGCAACAGGGACAACACTCAAGGGATTCTTTATACTCAGGGAAGGGGGACTCTCAAGTACCAATAGCATCACAGTACAGGAGCAACAACCTTGAAGTTAGGACACTTGGGTCTGAGTTTGCCCTGATCCTTAAGGCTAAGTTCCTGAGCCTCTCTGGACTTCATTGTCATCATCTGGAAAATGAAAGGACAATGCCTGCTTCACTTGGCTGCTGTGAGAACTAAGTGAGCTCTATTATGTGTAAGGGAAACCAGCAGTTCCCTTCATAAACATCAAAATGAGGCCCAAGGCTAGCAGAGAGAATCTCCAGGTGGGAGGGAGGGGTGGCCAGACCTCTTGGCCCCCGTCCTCCCCACTGATCCCGTATTTCCCCTTGGAGGGAAGGGTGTTTTTAATGAATTACCAGCCTGGAGGGCCTGGTTTGATTTATTATGAGAGGAACTGAAGGGTTTCCTAACATAAGTGGCCAGAGGTGGGGCGGATCTGCTGAGCCAAGCTACTGACCGGGATTTTGCTCAGAATTCCTCCTGCTGTGATCTTTTTGAGGAGCCCGGTGGATATGTGAAAGTGCTTTTAAACTGTCAAGTGAGGTTCCCATGGGAGGCGTTACCCCCCAATGACTGACCATAATAGGCTCATAAAGGGGCATGTGGAGATCTGGAGTGACCGTAGTGTCAGTGTGCCCTTGTACGGGGCAGCCTGACCTGGCCTGGGCCCTTGTCAAGGAGTGTGTTTGGCTGTGCTGAAGGAGAGAAGGCCATTCTCACTCTTCTCCTCACCCACAGGTGGCTCTCGGGGGCTGGTCCAAGGGCGGCTGTGGCGTCAGGACGGGGTCCTGGCTGTGTCCTGTGCCCAGGAGGGCGTGATCCGAGTGAACCATCGGGTCTCAAAGAGCAAGCTGTAGCCAGAGGTACCAGCTTGGCCTAGGGCTACAGGGATCACCATTCTCCCCCACTCCTGAAGCAGGAGTTACAGTTGAGGGCTGGGCCTGCTGTCCCTTGCATCTAATAAAGAGACTGATACCACTGGAGCTGCTGGCCTTTAATTCCCTTGGGCCAGAACTGCAGCCCTCCCTCCAGCCATCGACTCTAGGACTCCAGAGGCAGAGTCCCTGGCCCTTCAGCCAGGCTGGCTTGCTGGCTTGGAGACCCACGGAAAAGGGACCAGTGACCCTGACCTGGGGCACAGCCCCTAGCTGTTCATAAGCTGGAACATCTGCATCAGACTTCCTGCCCCATCCCGAGCATCGCAGCCAAAGCTTGTCCTGAGTCCAGCTCAACAGAAGAACCATGTTTCCTTGGTCTGCTACAAATTCTTTGTGGAACTTCTAGGGGTTTCCAGCACCCCCTACAGCCTCCCAACTGCTGTCCATGTCCTCATCAGCACTCCGCCCCACGCACACACACCCTAGGGCAGTGCCTCTTCCCCCAGTGGCCTTAAGTCTAGGCAAGGTTAGTCCAGTATCTCCTTGATAAGCAATTCTTTGAGACTAGGGGGTGGAGTGGGGGTCAGGCCTGCCTCCTGGAGGGCGTGGAGCCGGGCCTCCGACTGGCGTTTGTCCAGGCCCAGGCGCCAGGAGAGCCGGACATGGGCTTCTAGAAAGGGTGCCAACAAAGTGTGGAGGCTCTTGTCTCCCAGTAGATGTAGGGCCCTCTCACAGCATGCCCGGGCCTCCCCAGGGTCCTCCAACTCCTGGTGGCACACAGCCAGCCCAGCCAGGGTCAGCAGAGGGCGGTCTGGGCCAGAGGGGATGCCCAGCTGGGCCTGCAGTTGCCAGGCATTGGCCCAGAGTGCCAGAGCCTCACGATAGAGGCCAGTGCAGGTGAGACTCTGTGCCCGCCGCAGCTCGGGCAGCACGAAGAAGTCTTGCAGGTCCAGGGCATGGCGCAGTTCGGGCACTGCCTGCAGGTGGCCCAAAAACTGCTCGAAGGCCCGGCTGCGGCGGGCAATGGTCTCTGCAGTGAAATTCCGGCGCAGGCGCTTACGGGGGAAGGAGATGGCAGCCATGGGGCCCCGGAACTGCCGCTGTAGGTTTCGGTGCAACCGCTCAAAGTCCGAGTAGCGGCGAGAGATCTGGGCTGGCTGGCGATCTGGTGGCCCTGGACCCATCACGGCGAGGGTGTAGAGCTGTAGGGAGGGTGGGGGTGAGGGCAGGTGCAAGTTGTCCATGGGCCCCTTCCCTCCCCACACCCACACTTCCAGCTCTGTTCCCCCACCTCTTCCCTTCACCCCTGAGACTGGGCTCAGGAGGGTGGGAGCTGCTGGGACGGCAGCTAGGGACCCGGTCGCATCTTACCTGAGGCTTGTCTGAAATGACCCAGGCCCAAGACAGCACGGGGAGAGAAAGAGAGGTGAGCTTCAGTGCCTGCAACTGCTGCCCCTTCTGCCCCTTAAGGAGTACCCCCTTCCCGTAGAGCAGTTTGCTCTTTTGACAGCCCCTCTGGAAAACCAGGGCTGAGCTGAAACCCAGGCCCCTCTTTTGGGCTTCTGAGCCAACCTTTAGGACCAGCTTGGAGCTTTGTTCCACTCTGGACACAGAGTCCCCAAATCCCTAGCCAGGTTATTCCAATCCAGACCTGGAGGACAGGTCTGCAGACAGCCCTAGTAGTGATCTTTATGGAAAGTGCATTGGACTGGGACTCAAGTTCTAACCCCAGGTCAGCTACTCCCTCACTGTGTGACGTCAGGCAAGTCAGTCCCCCTCTTGGGGTCGCTACCTTCTCTAGTGAATGAAGTGTTGGCCCAGGTCATTGTTTACTCAAGTATGGGCCATGTACAAATGTTGGTACCCGAGATTTTTGGGTGGTATGTACTAGAGTAAACAACACTAAATCAGAGGCAGGAGGTGATTCCCCCTAATTCTCTTTGAATCTTTATGACTACAAATTTAGAAGCTCTCAATTTGGTTTTAAAAAAACACTTCTCCAACACTTCTCAGCTCCAGTTTTAGAAAAGAGCCAGAAAGCGAATCTCAGGTCAGGGCCTTCTTCAGGCAACGGCATCCAGGCAGGGTTTAATGACATGGGTTCATTTTCACTGCTTTTATTTTTACAGTTATCTTTTCTTTATGGCAAGAGAGGCTTTCCACATACAGCAGGGGTATAGAGTTATCTTTTAACCTTATTTTCAAAATATAGGTCTATTTAAAGAAAAATGTTAAGCAAAGAAAGGTACAAGTAGCATCTGGATAGGACAAGAATTGTGAAGGTGGTACGGGAATGACTGAGGTTTGGGAAACACTGACCACGATGACCACTAAGCTTCCCCAAGGTCTGAGAACCCGGATATGGATTAATCTATAATAATGCTGAGCCAACAGGTTTAAAAGGGGGATTAACAAGCATTATATGTTAAAGGCATACTAACACCAAACCCAGATTTTTCTCTTGAATTTGCCCTGTGAAACTGCCAATATCATAGCCACCCTGGTCAATTAGGTTTGCCTGCTCTATCCTCTCGAAGATTCACAGTGTACATTAATATTAAGGATTAAAAAGTTAAACAATAGAGAAACTTATTTTACTCTCGTTTAACTGCATTCCCAGAACATATTGACTGCAAAACCTTTTTTTTAAAAGAACAGTTATTAACATTCCAGGGAACCAGTTTTCTGCAGAACACACGTCAGGAAGCACTGGTCTATAAGGACCCCTTATGTTCATCTCGCTTTAATTTTTATTTTTTGACAACAGAACCACTTTATATCCATTATCTCATCTGATCCTTTAGCGTCCGACCGAGGCAGGGAATAATGATAGTAATAGCTCCATTAACTGAGCACCTACCCTGTGCCACGGGCTGTGCTGAGCACTGTACATCTATTTCATTTAATCATCACAACAGCACTGCAAGCAAGGTGTCCTTACTTCTGACAGCTGAGGAAGCAGGCTCAAAGAGGGGCAAAGGGCTCAAAGACTTCCCCCAAGTCACAGAGCTAGCTGGTAAATGGCCCAGCTGGCATTCAAACCCAGGCTGATCTAATGCCAAAGCCTTTGCTCTTAACCCACAGGAGAAGTTAAATTGGGATTTAGGGTCTCTATTGGACAAAGGAGGTGATAACTGCTCCTGGGGGTCCCCTTCTTTTGCATGACCCCTGGCCAGGACTTTTGCCATGGGACTTTTGCCATTAAGACTTGATCATCTTTGGGCCGGACCGGTGTCGCAAGTGGTTAAGTGCGTGCACTCTGCTGCTGCGGCAAAGGGTTTGCCGGTTCGGATCCCAGGTGCGCACCAACGCACTGCTTGGCAGGCCATGCTGTGGTGACATCCCATATAAAGTGGAGGAAGATGGGCACGGATGTTAGCCCAGGGCCAGTCTTCCTCAGCAAAAAAAAAAAAAAAAAAAGGATTGGCAGATGTTAGCACAGGGCTGATATCACAAAAAAGAAAAAAAAGACTTGATCATCAGACTCAATCCCTGCTTAAATTGGAGCAATCACCCCATGGGCGTGGCCCTTGTTTACTAACAGCAGCAGAGAGGGGTGGAGAGGCCCAGATGTAGGACAGGGCTCCAGGCCCCCTTCCTGCTGAGTCAGAAAGGGAGGAGGGTGGGGAAGTGGGGGGAAGTGAGAGGCAGGGAGCTGCCACTGCCAGGACTAGCTAGGTCAGGCTAAGTTTCAGGCCTGGCCGGGAGCAGGACCTGGCTGACCACATTCACCGTGTCAGTTTCTCCTTTTTTTTGTGAGGAGGACTAGCCCTCAGCTAACATCTGATGCCAATCTTCCCCTTTTTTCCTTGAGGAAGATTGGCCCTGAGCTAACATCCATGAGCATCATCCTCTACTTTATATGGGGCGCCGCCACAGCATGGCTTAACAAGCGGCGTGTCGGTGCACACCCGGGATCCGAACCTATGAACCCCGGGCCGCCGCAGCGGGGTGCGTGCACTTAACCGCTTGCGGCACTGGGCCGGCCCCTAGTTTCTCCTTTTC